CACCCCCACCTCGGGGTGGGGGGCACACCCCGCACCTCTCGTGGGGCTCCGCAGCCCCCCCAAACCCGGGCGCTGCGCCGGGGCGGTGCCAGCCCCGCTCAGCCCCGAGCTCCGGGGGTCTCCCCGCCGCCCCCCGGCCCGGCCCCACATCCGTGCGGGGCTGGAGCGGGGAATTCGCCCCCAGCCCCGCAGCCCCCGGCCCGCTCCGGTCAGGTTTAATAGCGCCCAGCTGCGCCATTTGCTGCGCCGACCCCGCGGGGGTCACGACACCGGGAATGTCGCCGAATGTCGCCTCCCCTCCCCGGCCCGTCCCCGCCGCTCGCAAATGGGGCTGGGGGCGGCGGGGACCCCCCCCTCGGCGCTCAGAGCGGCGAGAGACCCCCACCCCCCACCGCAGCAGCTCGGCGGGGGCTTTGTCGCTTTTTTTGGTCACTTTTTGTCGCTTTTTGTCACTTTTTTGTCACTTTTTGGTCACCGGGCGCGGTGGCACCGGCACGGGGGGGGCCGGTGAGTGCCGGGGAGGGGTGGGGGGCACTCGGGGACCACCGAACCCCTCCTTGGGGACAGCGGTGTCCCCCCACACCCCGGGGCCATCCCGGGGGGGGCACAGCGGGCGCGGTGGTGATTTGGGGAGGGGTCCTGCGGGGGGCCGCGGTGCCGGGATGCTCGTCCGGTCGCCGTGGCAACGGGGGATAAAGGTTACCGGGACACCGGGCCCAGCTGCGGGGCGGGGGGCGGCCCCCGGACCCCCCCCCCGCTCTTTGTTCCGCCCCCTCCCCGCGGGGGCGGGGCCGGCCCCCCCCCCCCAATTCCCGGGGTCGCCCCCCACTCGTGTCCCCGCGTGGCGCTGACCTTGAGCGGCTCCCCCCACCCCTGCTGAAGCCCCCCACCCCCCGAGGGTCGCGGGGGTCACGGGTGGCCCCCCGCCCCGCACGGGCCCAGCTGGGCCCGGTGTCCCGGTAACCGGGGGGGGGTTTGGGGCCAATTTAACCCTCTCGGCTCCTCCCCGCAGCTCGGGGCCCCCACCCGGGCGGGGTCTCGGGGGGAACCCGAGACCTTTATGGCTCCGCTGCGCCCATAAAGCGCCTTCCCCTCCTCCCGTTCGCGAGCCATAAAAACCCCCGAGGGCCGGGGGGGCGAGCGGGGAGGGGGAAATCCAAAAATCACCCAAATCACCCAAATAATAACGGAGCGGAGCCCCCCCTCCCCTCCCCGCGGCGCATCCGGGCCCGCGGGACCCCCCAGCCGGGGGGAGGGGGTCGGGTTTTTATTTTGGGGGCCCCCCCCGAGCTGCGAAGGGGGCGGGGATGGGGGGCGCGAGGCCCGGGGAGGAAAACCCCAGCGTGTCGTCAATTTTCTGGGTAATAAAATTTCAAAGCCGCCCGAGCGCATTTAATGCCTGGGAAGGAAATTTGGGG